GGCTGCGGGGGGGGGGCTTTTTGTGCCTGGGACTTCCCGTGAGAACGGTGGCGTGGTGCGGTCTGCCTCGCTGCTGGGGAAAGGGTGTTGCAATCGTGTGAAGGTGGGAAAGCCGAAGGTGTTTCGGTACGGGCAGGGCACCGCTGCGTTATGCAACCTGTGATGGAAAGGAATGGGGAGACCCGGCCTTTGTTTCCGGCTCTGCTATGGGTTTTCTTGGCCACTTTGGGTGAGCTGCTCCTGCTTATGCAGCCCAGAGTGTATAAGGATGCCTTAAAATCTACTGATAAAGCTCTGCAGATGTTCAGCAGTTTGGCTGGCTGAAGTGAGATAGGGCTTGTAGGGAAATAATGGCTGTTATTAGACCACGGCTGTGACTGGGGGTGGCGGGGAGCGAGCTGTTTCTCAGCTCTGTAACAGAAGCTGCACGCTTCAGGCCGTGTCATTTTCTGCTTATAAAACTGAAACTTGTGTTTGTTAAGCAGTTTAGTCCAAAAAACAAGCAGTGAGATTTGAGCTGCCCCCGTCCTGTCGGAGACACGGAGCCTGGCAGGGGCACAGTGCTGAATGTGCCCCTTTGCCTAATGGCTTGCGGGGCTCTGCGGGGTTTAGAGCTTTAGTAACTTAAAACATATGGCTGGTCCCAGCTGCCAGCGCTGTATGGGGGCAGAGCAGGGATGTGCCTCGCGTAGCTCACGGACCCGGCAGGGGTTGTGGGTTCGTGGGCAGGCGTGGATGTTGATGTGCTCAAGGTGAGGCAAAACAGCAAAGAGCCTTCCAGGGTGTCACGGCAAGCCCAGGTGGCTCTAGTGAAGCCTTGTGGACTCCTCTCTGTGGGCTTGGTGGCTTTTCGTGGCTAATTGAGCCTGTTTTGATGATCTGAGCCAGCTGTGTAAAAGTTAATGTTTGTCTTGAATGTGATTTCAAAACCCTTGAAGGAGGATCCATGTCTTTGATCTGGCTGGGGAGAAAGGAGGGCCCGCGTTCCTGTAAGGAGCTGCGTCGTATTGGAAGTCATCAGAACTCCCTGCTGAAACTGGGATGCTGGGGATGGGTGATAGCAGAGCTGGGACAGCCAGCTGTGTCTTTGAAACGTGTGGGGGTTTTCTGGTAGGTCAAGTGAAATGGGAGAAATTTTCCTGTCTTCCATTTTCTGCTGGCGGAGGCAGGATTCAGCCCTGGCACTCGCTCCCTGCTGCAGAGCCGTGAATGGGACAGTGTCCCACCCGGGGTGTCGTGGGGCTCACAGCTGTGCTGCGTTCCTGCTGTGGTGGCATTAGTGTGTGTGAGTGTGGAAGTGGTGTGAGCAGGAGCAGCCCTGCCCCAGGACACCCTCTGGGATCGCCCTTCCTATTGCCTCAAAACAGCAAAGAACCTCTTTCCACCCTGCAGCAAAATACCCAGCACTGATGGGCCGTGGGAAGGGCAATGCCATGGCGGGTCAGACGCTGGCTCCTGCCGGTGGGTTAGAGCAGCCGGTTCGCCGTGGCCTCTCCTTGCGCTGCTGAGGTCCCCAACCTTGAATAAGTAACACTTCTCCATGTGCATCTGAAGCTGCAGTGGGACGGAGCCTGCAGCAAACAAGGCCTTGCTGTTTGGGTGTAACTGTGTTTCGAGCTGAAGCTGGCGGCATTTGTGTCTTTGTTCTCCGTTTTTTTCCTGGCCTTACCCGAGGAGAGAAGGCAGAACGTGTTCTCAGGGCGTTTTCATGTCTTGGATGCAAAATTGCATCCTGGCTCCTCGGTTCCTCGCCCGGGTGGGCAGTGGGTGTGTGGGGCAGAGCAGTGGGCTCCTGCCCTCACGCTGTGCCCGAAGCATGTGGGGGGTAGGAGCTGGGTGCTGCCTCTCCTGGGATCAGCTGGTGGGTGGCTTGTCCCGGAGCCCTGCGGCCATGGGGGCCGAGCTCCGGCTGGCCAGCCTCCGCCTGGCTTGGGTCCACTGTATGGCACCAAAAAATGGTGTTTCTGGGGGTCGTGACGGAGGGTAATGGTCTTCCTGGAGATGTGTGGTTTTCAGATGGCTCCTCGGTTCCTCGCCCGGGTGGGCAGTGGGTGTGTGGGGCAGAGCAGTGGGCTCCTGCCCTCACGCTGTGCCCGAAGCATGTGGGGGGTAGGAGCTGGGTGCTGCCTCTCCTGGGATCAGCTGGTGGGTGGCTTGTCCCGGAGCCCTGCGGCCATGGGGGCCGAGCTCCGGCTGGCCAGCCTCCGCCTGGCTTGGGTCCACTGTATGGCACCAAAAAATGGTGTTTCTGGGGGTTGTGACGGAGGGTAATGGTCTTCCTGGAGATGTGTGGTTTTCAGATAAGACCCATTCTTCCTTGTCTGGTGTCTCCGCACCAGTGTGGCATGCACAAAGGTGATCAGACTGCGCTGTTAAAAGGCGGTGCAGGAAAGCCTCCAGGTCCTTTTGCTGAGGCTGGCAGTGCAGCCCATGGGCAGAAGCATCTCTTTCGGAGCAGGAGGGATGAACTGAGCTGTTCCCAGTGGCACCATGAGCATCCTTCCTGGGCAGCTGGTGTTTGGCAAGGGTGGAAGGGCCCGGGCTGGCTCTGCTGGGCTGGTGCTGGTGTAGCTGGGGGTGAAAGTCTGTTTGGGTGGAGCTGCGGAAATCATGCGGCTGGGACCGGTGCTGAGAAGGTCCTGACGTGCCAGATGCGCAGGAGAGGCTGTGTCGTCTTCAGAAAAGCTGCGGACTCGAGGCTGTGACCATGGCTCGGAAACGGGTAGGGTGCTGGGCTCTGCCCGCCTTGGGCAGGACCTCACTGTGTGTCCGGCTGCTGCTTTGCCTTCCACCTAGCTGCTCTGTCCCCAGAATGATGTGCTGCCTGGGGAGTTTGTCACAGAGAGCCCCTTCTGCTTGTCCCCGCTAATGGGGAGAGGGCAAGGAGCTGCTCTGTGCCCGCTCTTCATCCTTGCCTGGCTCAGCCCCTGGCACTCATGGGGCTGGGGAGATGCTTGCTGCGTCGCTGTTGGGGAGCTTGGCAACAGGCAGGGCCCCGGCATCGCTCCCCGCTGGCTGGGGGGGGCAGCTTGCCCGTTCTGCCCTGCCGGGGCTGTGCAGCACTGTGGCAGGTCAGGGTGCTTCTGTGGTCCCTCTGTGTTTTGTTGTGGTCTGCAGGATCCTGCTCCCTGCCAATGATTGGGTGCTCCAGGCATTAGGGCAGCACAGTTAAACTGTGGGGACTGGGGGATGCTGCGTGGGACCCAGCATGTTTCTGCTGCACGCTGCCTGCAGGTGTTGCCCATCTGCATCTCCTGCCACTGCATGTTAGCTGCCTGCTCCCAGGTCCCCTCTGGGAGAAGTGGCCTTGCACAGGCACTGCCTTGCCAGTATCGGCAGCACCGTCTGATGTTGCGTGTAAATAGATCTGAAAGGGAGCAGACGGATTTTCAGGGGCTTGATGGAATAGCACCCTTCAGGCTGGCTACAGATGGGAGCCCTGGGCACGCTGCTGCCCAGTGCGGCGTGTGGAGACGGAGGCTGCAGCCTGCAGCAGATCAGTTGGTTCAGGACAAGCAGCCTTGTCTGCAGTCTATAAATTTCTTGTTGGTTGTTTTTTTCACTTGCAGATACCGGCTCTGTTGACCTTGAATGGAGCTTGCAGGGGAGTAAATAAATGCTAGCTAATTGCGCATTAGACTCGTTTGTCGCTTATAACCTTGGCGGTTGCAGTGTGTCTGGCCAGTGTGACCTAGATCAGAGCAGGAGCCCTGTAAGAAAGCCCAGCGCTGCTTTGGGGGGTTCCTGGCATGCCCGGGGGGGTCAGGGGTCTGTGGTCTTCAGGGTCACCCCACGGCTGGGGATGGCTGCTGAGCAGCATTGCCAGCGATACCACTGCTCCTCCTCCTCAGGATGAAGGCCTGTGCAGGGAGGAGATGGCCCAGCCCTCTGCAGCTGCTGGCAGAGAGTCTGGAGGTGGTTTCCCTTTGCCTGGCTGCTTGTGCATGTCCCGGATCTGCCCCGTTTCCATCACAGCCCACCCTGGAGTGATTTACCCCCCTGCCTGGCCATGGCCGGGATCGGCTCCTCCCGGCTCTCCCCGCCGCGCCGACACTGCGAGCTCCTTTCAGAGTCTCTGCCAGTCACCGATCCCCGCGAAGGAGCCGGGCAGCGGCAGGACAATGGTCCCCATTCAGCGCTGTCTGGAGCTGGATCCCAGCAGGGATGGGCCCGTCTCCCCCTCCCAGCACTGGGTTCCCTTATCTCTGCTGGCCCCTAGCACGGACTGGGGATGAATGTGCAGATCGGGTTGTTCCTTTCATAAATCCACCTGGGGTGGGGGGTAGCTGGTACACCGGTGCAGTGGCGAGCACCCAGCAAAGGCAGCCCAGCCACCGAATGCTTGCATGGGTGCTCGGTGCCTCCCTGTGCACCCCGGCTCTGCACCCTGCCCTGGTCATGGTGGGAGGAAGAAGCCCCAGATAAAGGAAATGAGGGTGTGCAGGACTGTTTGCTTGGTGGCACAGACTGTGTTGTCCCTCTAAGGGGCAAAACCAGGCAGCAGGGTTTCTGATGCTCGGGGGTCAATGAAGCAGCCTCTGAAAGCTCCTGTCTGAGCAGAGCGGGTGATCCTGGGTGGTCTGTGCAGCTACCCTGGGCAGAGCTGTCATGTGGGTTGCGGGACATGGAGTAGAAAGAGCCATCACCATCCTCACCCGGGGCTGCAGGCAACAGGCACTCCATCCTGGGGGTCCCCCAAAGCCGCACTCTGCCCTTCTCCCCCATCACTGATGTCTGGAAGTGACAGCAAACTTGCACCCTGCAGCAAGACCGAAGCTGCAGGAGAGTGTGGGGGAGCTGATGGTCCAGCTCCTGCCACAGCTGGGAGGTCCCTGGGTTTCTGCTCAGTTGTTCTTCTCCTTTCCAGGTTGTGCAGCGCATCAAAGCTGTGGAGACAGAGACGTGCTTGCTCGTGGTGGACAAGGAGACGGACGAGTATCTGTGCAGCCTGCGCCTGACATGCACGGAGGAGATGGTGCACAGCGGGATCCTGCTGAACTCCAGCATCTCGCCCACCAAGTCGGTGGGCAGCGACAATGGGGAGGTCTGGAAGCCGCAGCTGGATCTGAGCGGGGGCAGCCTCCAGCAGCACTCGCACAGCTTCTCCTCGCACGGCAGCAGGAAGGTGAGGGCAGAATCGGGCGGCGCGTGGGGCTGCTCTCTGGGCACAGAGCCGGGGAGCGGGTGCAACCACCCTGGGAGCACCTCCCTCTGCAAGCACGGCTTGCTTCCCATCAGAGAAAAACCTTCTGTACGTGGCTGTTGGCTTTGGGGACCCCGCTGTGTCCCGAAGCAGTGGGCGAGCTGCCCCTTGGCCTCATTTGCTCTTGCTTGAAGCAGCGTTGGCTGCTGGGGGGCTGCGCTGCTCTCTCCCCTCCTGTGCCCCTCGAGGGTCTTGTGAGTCCCAGGAGCTGCTGGGGGCCTGGAACAGAGGGGGCTGGTGGGGGGTCGTCAGCCCTGGGATGGGTGACCCAGCCTGGGTCTCGCTCCCCTACGGGGACAGGCTGCACGGACCAGGGACGTGGCGAAGCTGGAGCTCATGAATGAGCTTCTCTCTCCTCCATTATTTGCAGGAGGGAGGGAACATCTGGGGCGAATGTGTTCTCAGCTTTTTGCTTAAATAGGAAGGAAATTAGCTCTTTTTCAAGTGGCCTGAGTCTGGACTGTGATTCTGTAGTAAGTGCCTTTTATTGGCAAACTCCTTTCCAAAAAGGAAAGAATTTGGGGTGGAAAATGTCCAATTTCCATGGCTGCCTTGCTGCTGGGGCTGGGCTGGCGGAGACGGCGCAGCCTTGCGCTCGGCAGATAGCGGGGTTTGGTCCCAGCGCTGCCCTTGCTCGGGGTGTGAACGTGGCAGGAGCAGTGTGGGTGTCATGTGGCCGAGCAGGTGGTTCTGTCACCTCTCTGCAGCCGTCTGTCCCCCTCCCTTCCATGTCCCCACCCTGCACCCCCCCCATGCCGCTGGGCAGGGAGTGCTGGTGCTCAGCCGCCTCCTCCATTGCGGAGCCGCCATGGGCGCATTCCTCCTCCCCGGGAAGCTTGCAGGGGCTGCAGTGCCTGGTCAGCCTCTGCCCCCTCAAGAGGTGGGGTGGTGGCTGGATACTGGGCCAGAAGTGGCCGTGGGGCTGCCAGGAGGACATAGGTGGGAAAGTCAGGAAAGCTTCGTGTCCTCAGGAGCCCCCACGGAGTAACAGCTGAAGAAATTTCCCCGCGCAGATAAGAGGCAATGCTGGTCTGAGGCAGGAGGCACGTGCCTCTCCAGTGATAAGGAGCGGGTCTTGCCTCTGGTCCTCCCCTCCAGAACTGTTTGGCATCTTGCAGAGGAGGAGCCCCCCTTCCCTGGGGCTGGCAGGGGCAGGGTTGGAGGCAGGATTTTTTTCTTTTTTTTACTTATTGCATGATTTGAAGCTGTTTGAAGGTCCGTGTGATGATGATGGGTGCGTTTCCCCTGGAGGTCGGTGCAGTGGGGGGCTGGTCACCCCGGGACGGCCAGTGGGAGAGGAGCCGTTCCTGAGGCGAGGGGCGGCTGGGCATGGCCGGGGATGGCTTTCCAAGCTGGGGATTTCCTATCCTGTCTGTGTTTCGTTTGCTGGTTGCAATCCAACAGCGTGTGCTGACGGGAAGTCAGGCGAGGGGAACAGGACGGTCCTTTCCGGCCTTTGGGTTTCGGCTCCTCCAAGGAGAGGGTGGGACGGGGAGAGCCAGGCAGGGCTGGGGTGCGAGGGGGGAGAAGAACCCACGCTTCCCCTCAGAGGGGCTGGGGGGGCTTGGCCAGGGGTTTCTCCTGGGTCAGCGTGGCTGGGACATCTGGTGCTCGCTGTGCCGGAGCCGGGGCTGGCATTTGGCGGAGCCTGAGCTGGACAAAGGGAACTGACTCTGGGGGCGATGCCCCACTGTCTGGGGTTGGGGACAGCGGCTGCTGAGCGGGGCAGTGCTGAGCACCTCAGGTGCTTGCAGAGGCTCAGGTCAGTGGCTGGTTTGCTCCCGCCTCTGGGGGCGGCAGCTCTTTGAAGAGCTGGGTGCTGCAGCCTTTCCTGGCCAAGGTCACTTCTCTGTGCTGGGACCGTGAGTGACCCTGGTAGGAGGTCAAGGGTGGCCGGAGCAGCAGGACTTGCATCCTGCTCCTGTGCCTTGCAGTCCTGCTTGCTTCAAGGTGGTAATACCTGCTCCAGGCTCTTGGTCTGGGTGATGTGGCTCTCCTCCTAGGTCCAAAATGGCTGGAGGCCAGGGGAGCGATGGTGCACCCCAGTTCCTGCAATGGTCAGCCCTCCAGCACTGTGTCCCTGCATGGGGCAGCTCTAGCCTGACCCTAACCCTGCAGATCACCGGCACTGGGCCCATGTGGGGGTGCGCAGCTCCCGAGTGCGGGGGCTGTTTGGGAGAGATTTCTGTCCCTGCAGCGGGGCTGTGGCAGCTGAGGTCCAGTTAGAGACTTGCCTTCAGCTGGGTTTGGAGGGGACCAGGCTCTGAGCTGGGTGGCACTGGGAGAAGCTGGGCTTGGGCTGGCAGCTCTTCGGTCTTTTGTGTAGCTTCCCTGGAGGCGTTCAGTGAAGGAGGAGAAAAGGCAGCTCCCTTCCCCCTGCAGACCCCCGGCCCCATCCTGCCCCTGTGGGAATCCGGTGTCGATGCTCCGCGCTGCTCCCAAGGAGCAGCATTTTTTTGAGCAGCATTTGTTTATGTAAAGGCTGCAGTTTTCCTTGATTTGAGGCCAGGTTGTTCAGTGCAGCCTGGAGCAACAAGCAACTGAAACAAAGAGGAGGGAAATCTGGCACCCTGGGGCAGCCATAGCGATGGGCAGCTGGGAGGCGATGCAGCAGGCAAGGTGGGCATGGCCCTGCCAGCCTCCCCCATGCTGCCCCAGTCTTATTTTGCAAGAGGAGTGACACCCCCCCCCCCCCAGCGCCCCCCTGGGGGGGGTGGGGAGGTCAGTGCGCACCCCAGCAGAGACCTTGTGCTCCAGGAACCACGGTAATGCCATGAATAATTCAGCACGTATTTAAAATCAGGCTGCCTGCCCCGAGAGCAGGTCGGCGGGGCTGGCTGCCAGCAGATGCGGCTGT